CCTACCGTCTTCAAAGGGGTTGATGGGACCCCTGATCCACACCTGTGCAGAAGGAGCCCTGGAATTTACCATGTTCCCGCAAGTACATTCCAAGTCCCCTCCCCGGGCGATGCCTACTCTACAGATTCCATCTGCCCAGGGTGGCCTGGATGCTGTGTGAACCCAGTGAACCCTGGGCAATGGGGAAGCCGGGGAAACCTGCTCCCCTCCCCCTGCAGCCCTGGCTCCTGTTTCTCCCGCCAGCATCATGGAGCCACAGCTGGCTGCATTCTCCAGTCTGCGCGTGCTCCCTCCCCCTGCCCTGAGTGAGGGATCTGGGTGATCTCTCCCTGATCTGAGCCCTGCACCCCAGGTAGGTTCTGCCCTGGCCACCCCCCCCCACACACACACCTGCCCATCACACTGGCAGACTCTAGGGCAGGACTTGTGACTCCTTTGCGCAGGAACAGGGGCTCCCAGTGGCTAAGCGAGCGCTGGCACGACAAAAACAATATTAGCCTCTCTACACAGCAAGCACGAATGAAGACGCCCGGCACCAGGCACGAGTTAAATTTAAGCCATTTCAGCACCTCAGAGAATTCTCACCCCATGGCGTGTGAATCCCTATTTTTGTGGCACAGAAAACAGCCACAACTGATTCCGCATTCCCAGCCCACGCTTCGGGCAAGCACTGCTCCCGCAAAGGGCAGCGGGAGCTCCTTTTGAATTTGACAAATACACGTGTTCTCCCATTTGGGAGACTCTGCCCAGGTGTGCAGAAGTGAAGGGATTCCTCAAATCCGGGGGACTGCAGACCCACTGGCACCCCTCTGCCGTCCCTGGAGCAAGTGCGTTCTCCCTGGAGGGGGGGTGGGGCAGCCGAGGCAGTCCTGGGAGTCTGGCTCCTGAGAGTGGGTGGGAGGCCGGCGCAGGCACCCAGACGGCTCCCCATCAGGATGCAGATCTTTGTCTGCACCAGGCTGGGAGATGTCCCAGCTGTTCTGGACTTATGCCTCCAGGGGGCCCTCACTCTGGGACGGCGGGAGCCCCCACTGGCCCCAGTTCCTCATAACAAATGCTTGGGCATTGGTGGGCTCCCAAGGAGCCCGACTGAAACACAAGAGTGGCTCTGCAGGTGGAGGCCGAGAGTCCGCACCGCCACACCCTCCCCCGCCCCATGGTCAAGTCCATGCGTGCGGCCAGAGGCTCTGTTGCAGAGGGTTCCAGGTCCCTCGTGGGTCCTCCACATCCACTTGGTGTGGACCTACTGCAAGCCAAGGCCTGCGCTGGGCACTGGGGAGCAGGGAGTGACCAAAATGGGGGGTCCTGCTCCCTATAAGCTCCCAGCCTAGCATAGTAAACCAGGACACAGAATGAATCCCACTGCCCAGCAAGGAGTCTATCTAAGAACAGGAGGCTGGACAGGGTGGGGCGGGGACTGTGGAAGAGTGCTCCTCACCGGCCCATCACCATCAGTCTCCTAAGGAGCCCTTGTAGATACTTTCCCTAGCCCCGCCCCCTCGCAACACTGTAACACCCTTGCAACACTGTAACACCACAGACCTGGAATCTGCAAGTGGAATACACCAGTACCTATGCTTTACACCAGGTTCTGTTTCTGTTTTTCTTTCTGCATAACAATCAGTTTCCACCCCTGGGGAGAGGCTCAGTGCAGAGGAGGAAGGAACAGTTGAGTTCCCTTTCCAGTGCAGGGTGGGAGGCACGCAGGAAGGGTCTCAGGGCAGGCATCGTGGAGGAAGAGGTGCCCACCAAGGGTTTTGAAGGATGAGCAGGAGCTCAGCCCAACAGGGAAGGGGCTTGGTCTTAATTCCCACTGGCTGGGCAACTTGTATCCAGCTTAGTCACTATGGTAACCAGCCTCCAAGATGGCCCCAGCGACCCCTGCCTACTTCCCTGCCTTGTGGAGCCCTGGGATAGACCACCGCAGAAGTCATGGGATGCAAGGCCTAGGGCCCGAGAGACTTGGCCACCTCTGCCTTGGTCTCCAGGAGACTTAGCCATGAGGACACACCCACAGGGAGACCACATAGGGTTGAGCCGCCTGGGCAGCCGCCTGGAGTGAGCCACTTCGGAAGCAGGTGCCCCAGCCCCAGCCGAGCCTCCGAGTCTTGCCGCTCGGCCCCCGACACCGCAGGGCACACCACAGAACAGCCACCCTGCAGCCCTGACTTCCTGACCCACCAGAGACATGGGTGACACTGCCGTCTTAGGGCACTCCTTTTGGGGGTGACTTAACACTCACGTGTAGGTAAGGAATACCACCCCCTTCCCAGAGCCCAGGTCCCCGCCTCAGCTCCTCTCGGCTGCAGGCCCGTCTTGGGGTCAGCTCGCTGGGGCTAGCGAGCCCGGAGGTTCCGATGTTGCGCTTGTTCCCGCAGCTTCTCAGGGATTCTGGGGGCAGACAGTTCAGGAAGCTCCCTGGATTCCTCCCCTGGGAAGGGATTTCCCAAGGAGTGCGCCTGAGCCACATGTCTGCCTGCAGGTCCCTCTGTCCCTGGTCATCCAGCAGATACCTGATAATGTCTGTGAAGCGTAAGGAAGAGGGGAAAGCCAAGGTGACTCAGGCTGAGGCCGTGTCCCCCAGGAGCTCACAGCCCAGGTGGAGGGACAAGCCTTTGGAAACAGGTCACCCATCTGCCAAACTCAGAGAGAGTCAGGCAGAGGCATGTGGGGACGCAGGCTGCACAAATGCCCTGCTAGAAATAAGCAGGGGGAGGGGACAAAAAGAAATTCCCTACTTTAATAACCCTCTAGTAGCAGTCAGGAAAGGCCTCTTGGAGGAGGTGACATTTAAGGTGGGTCTAAAGAATGGGTGGCACTCAATACTCAAGGTATAGGGAGAATGGGATGTGTCTAGTGGTGGAAACAGTGTAAGGCAGACATACAAGCAACACCAGGGAGCTAACTAACCAGTATTCAACTTGGGTAGCGGGGAGGAGATAGGGCAGGGCTACAGCGGCCACGGGAAGTCACACAGAGCTGGTATCAGCACAGCTCTCAGCACTTCTCAATCATTTAATCCATACAACCACCCCCAGAAGCCAGTCCCGATGCCACCCTGGTTGCACAGATGAGGCTCAGGGAGACAGCTCCTGGGTCCGATGAGCAGCGAGCATGCCCCTCCCCCCGGGATCCAGGAAAGAAAGCTCCAGCCCAGAGGGCGTCAGTGCCTCGCCCAAGCTCTCACAGCAGCCTAGGGCGCCTCTCAGCACAGCACGGCATGCTGGCCCGCCCTGCACCGTGAGGTCTGCCCAGAGCACACGGAGCTGTTTTGCCGGTCTCCTGTCCCACCGCACCTGCCCATACTGAGTGGCCTCCTCTGGCCACGGAGAGTGACTCAGCACTCCCCACGCCCACAGCCCTCCCACCTGGGCTTTCGCATGCTGACTTTGCTCTGCCAGGAGCACTCTCCCCACCTCCCAGTGCCCAGCACCCTCTGTGCCTCTAGCAACACTCTGCAGCACCTGCTCTGAGAAGCCTTCCCCTATCCAGGACCAAGAGGGTGGTCCTCCAGGGACCCCCACCCTGCTCTCATCACACCCCTGCCCTGGCTGGTGCCCATCACCCTTGAGGCTGTGAGCTTGGCCTCTGCCCCCAGAGCCCTGGACACAGATCCCCCTGTGTGGCCTGGCTCCTGCCTGCTGGCCCACCACGGGCCAGCCCCACTGTCCTGCCTGCCGTTCCACAGACGTGCCAGCTTCTTTGCCAGGCCTGCTTGCATTTGCTACTCCATCCACCAACATGGAATGCTCTTCATTCAGTGCCCACCCGTCAAGTCTCAGTCTGAATGCCACCTCCTCCAAGAAGTCCTTCCTACTTGCCCAGACACTCACTATGCATCTCATCACCCTGTTTATTTCTCTTATAGCCGAGTTTTCTTACCAGTCTTATTGCATGGACCAGACTGCCTGATTTTACATCTTGGCCCTATTGCTTATCAGCTGTGGGTCCCTGGGCAAGTTACTTAGGCTCTCTGTGCCTCATTTTCCTTATCTATAAAATGGGGATGATGCAGCACCTATAGCATAGAGCAGGTATACGGGTTAGTTAATGCATGTAAGTGCTCAGAACAGTGTTCGGCACATAGTAGGTCCTTCCTACATTTGCAACTATTAGCTCTTAGTATTATTACTTAATTATTTGCTTTCCCCCCTGTTTTCCTCCTAGAATGGAAGTGCTGAAATCATGGGGATCACATCTATCCTGTTCAGCACTATACTCTCAGGGCCCAAAAAATTCCCAACACACAGTAGGTTGCTCATAACTTAGGTTAGATGGATGGACGGATGCCTCAATGTCAGGATAGAAGGATTAATGGATGGATGGATGATGGACAGATGGAAGGAAGGAAGGGAGGGAAGGAGGGAGGGAGGGAGGTAGATTGGGTGGATGGATGGATGGAAGGGAGGGAGGGAGGGTGGGTGAATGAGTGGGTCCAAGAAGTAAACCTAGGCATGGCCACCAATCTCTCCAGTGGTCAGATGTGTCTCCACCTTTCTCCCTCCCTCCCCTTCCAATACTGGCTAACGCCTGCAAGGGTCACCTAGGAGAGACTGCACACTCACTGTGGGAGCAATCAGTGGTGCATGGAAGCAGCCAGCGTCTGCCAGTGTCAACAAGGAATCAGTGGCCAGGAGCCCAGGAAGGCTCAGCCCAGGAGAAAGGCAGGCTGGGTAGACAAGAGGGAATTCCAGCAGCGGGCGGAGGCTGGCAGGGAGTGGAAGAGGGGAACAGTGGGCTCCTGTCGGGGGATGCAGGCAGCCTGCAGGTGCTCTGCCATGCAGAGAGAGGCGGGAACAGGTGCTCCCGCCGCACAGGCAGGCCAGGCAGCAGCGAGGGTGCTGAAAGGTATGCTGGGGAGCCTGGGGGGAGCCCCAGAGCTCTCAGCGGCACTGGGCTGGCTTCAAGGCTGCCAGACCCAGGCAACTTAGGAACTACCCTGTGCCAGGACCGCTGGCCAGCCAAGGACGCTACCCCCATGGAAGGAGGCGGGGACTTACCTGCACCAGGTTCCAGCCTTGGAGGGACTCTGCGATGATGGACGTGACGGATGGACAGACGCCTCCAAACACCATCAGGTGGTTGGGCCCATATTTTATTGCATCGTAGAAGGCTTTCAAACCTTTCGCGTTGTCACACTGGGAAACGACAGAGAGAGGAGAGGGGCACAGATGAGAACCAGCTTGCCTGGGGGCCAGAGCCCATCCATGGATTCCCCGGGAACAAATCTCCCTGCTGGGGAAAGGAGCTAGGTCTCTGTCCTCTGGGTGGGGCCCTCAGGGAAGTGTGGCCTCAGCGCCCCCTTGGCTCTCCTCCCACCAGACTCCAAACGTAGGTCCTCCTCCTGGCCCCCAGCTACCTCCCTGCAGAGCAGCCACAGAAAGCCCCCTCCCAAACGCCCCACGGTGGGATGTCCCCTTCCCAAGGCCACTTATAGTTTAGAAGGTGGTGAATCCAGGCTCATTACGATGACAGAAAGCAACAAGTGTTGGTGAGGATCTGGAGAAACAAGAACCCCGCCTACGACTAAGGGGAGCATCAGACAGTCCCGTTACTGTGGAAGACGGTGTGGCAGCCCTCAAAAAGTTAAAGCCAAAATTACCACCTGATCCAGCTATTTGACTTCTAGATCTACACTCAAAAGAACTTAAAGCAGGCACCTAACCAGGTATCTGTATGTCCATGTCCATGTCCGTCCCGGTATCATTCACAATAGCCAAAAGGCAAAGCAACATAATTGTATATTAACAGATGAATGGATAGACAAACTGTGGAATATCCATACAATGGAACACGACCTGGCCCTGAAAAGGAAGGAAATTCAGGCACAAGCTACCACCTGGAGGAACCTTGAAGACCTTATGCAGAGCGGAATAACCACATGAAAGGACAAATCCAGGGCACTTCCAAGAGTTCACGGAAAATGGAAATAAAAAGACATGCTTATTCTGATGCAAAAAAAAATGTTGAAATCTGTGCACACAAGAGGTTTTCAAAGAGTTCCTGGAAAATGTATACTATGAAAAAACTATGCATAGACTTTAAAATTGGGGCCACCAAAATACACTTAGCCTTTAACTTCATTTTCCACAAACTTGTCAAAGCACCCTCACTTTCTGTGATTCCAGTTGCTGAGATACGGCGAGTAGCTACATCCACTGAGTCAGAAAGAAAGGCGGCGGCTGGAAGTGTTTGCTCCATGCGTTCAGAGTTCCAGCCTGGGAAGGTGCAGATGTTCTGGACGTGGGTCAGTGAACTTAATGCCACTGAACTGGACGTTTGGGAGTGGCTGAAGTGGTAAGATGTCTGCTATGTATAGTGTATGATGATAAATCTAAAGGCAAGGTTTCATTCAGCAAACACCTGCGAGCGCTGCTGTGTCCCCAGGGCTGGAGGCTGAAGAAATGTCAAGGTCAGGCTCAGCACCTGCCAAGGAGCTCACAGCTAAGTACCAGGAAGCAGATCCCAGACGCAGAGGAAGGGCAGCCGTGCGCGAGTGCCAGGGAGCAGCTGGGGCTCATTACCCCCCATTCCAGCCCCATGGTTCTCCCTGCCCTGGACAGAGGCTCTGGCTCCTCAGCGGGTGTCTGGCTTTCCCTGGGGCCCGGTTAAGCCTTCGTAAAACATAAATGAGTCCCGGGCTTTCTCCTGGTTTCTGTACACTTAAGCTCAACTTTCTATCAGAATATAATTCTCAAAAGCATAATTCTCTTGACAATTGATAGCAGGCACACATCAAATCTTCACAGAACACATCAATAAAGTGATCCACAGGGGGACAGGTGCATGGGAAGAGAACTTGAGAAACAGAGGTGTTTACAGCTGCTGAAAGGAATGTATAAGATACAATTGCTTAATTACGTGGCCGTTGATGGCTGACGTCCTCCAGGGAAGTAAAACTATAAACTTTGGGGCCAGAACAGAAAAGCCCTGAAAACCAGCAGCACATCCTCCCAGGGTTGGCGAACTGTGAGGTACCTTGGTCTGCATTTGCTGGGCAAAGCTCTTCTCCCCTAGCTATAGCTGCTCTTTTGCCAGGGCTGTTGGAACATCTTCCTGTCTCTCTGCCTTTCAAATAAATAAATTTTTTTTTCTAAAGGGAGCAGGCATTTGGTGCAGCGGTTAAGATGCTGCCTGGCACGCCTGCACCTGTGTTTGTTAGAGACCTGGGTTTGAGTCCTGGCTTTGCTCCTGATTCTGGCTTCCTGCTGACACACACCCTGGGAGGCAGCAGGTGAAGGCTCAGATACTTGGGTCCCTGCCACCCGTGTAGGAGACCGTGATGGAGTTCCTGGCCCAGCTTTGGTTGTTGTAAGCATTTGGAGAGTGAAACAGTAGAAGAGATATTCCTCTGTGTTGTGTGTGCATTTATATTAGGTTCGGTGGTCCCAGGATCACATATCTGTGTGATTTATAGGTTTGGAATAGTGTTCATAACATTCCTTACTAAAATGGAAGCCACACAACCAGTCCCTACCTCCCACTCTGGTCCAATTTCCAACCACTCCCCTTTGCCCACCAAATACAGCCTCACCTGCCTCCTCCTTCCTGCCTCAGGGCCCTTGCACATGCCACTTTCTTTGTCAGGACTTTTATAATTTTGATGCTCAGCCTGGCTCACTCCTGTCCATCATTCAGGTCTCCTGGCCCTCAGCCACTCTCTAACATGTCACCTATTTAATATCCTCCCGTATCTCTAGTTCCTAAAATGATCCGAAATCACCTTGTCTAATTTTTATATACCAACCGACTTCATCAACTAGGACACAAGCCCTGTGAGGGCAAAGGCATTGTCACTGCACTATCCCTGCTGTCTCCCCAGAGCTCAGAGCTGGCCCATGGAGGATTTGTGAGCAACTGCTGAACCCCTACAGGGCCCACTGACCCCCTCCACCTGTGCTCCCTGTTTGGTACTGCAGCATCTGGGCTGTGGGTATCCCAGGGGGAGCCAGTGTGGGCCTGGTGGGGGGGGGGGGTACTTCCGATGGACTTGTAGGCAGAGGAGCAGCCTGAAAGGGACTGTGGAAGAAACACAGCCCAGCTGCCGTGGTGACAGACAGCGAAGGGGACAAGGTGGCCTGGGGAAGGCAAAGGAGGGCAAAGGAGGGCTCAGAACGCCTGGATGTGGGTGTGGATTGTACCCCGCAGGTCATGGGGAAAGCACTCCATTGAAAAGTTTAATTTCAACATTCACCAAGTGAAAGGTGCCTTTTGTCAAGAATGAAAAAAGGGGGAAAACAGAAAGGAAATAAGGAACGAAGGAAAGAAAGGAAGGGAGAGAGAGAAAAGAAAGCTGAGTTCTTGGCTTCTGGGATCTTCCAGCACTCCTCGGCGCCCCGGTGTGAAAGCAGCACGCTCGCCCTCAGCGGCACGCAGTGGACATGACAGACTGGCTCATGTTCTAATTGCTCCGCCCGTGATTTACCGAATCCTTTCTGGTTTTAATACATTTCTGTAATGACTTTGGCTGGTTTTCTAATCTGCAGCTAATGACAACGATAATAGAGCACCACGGGCTTTATCATCACAGTTACATAAAAATATTATTAGCAACCATGAACTTATTAATATTTGTTTGCTCAGCAAACATTCCCCAAATGCCACGCAAGATTCTACGTGTGCAATGACAGCCTTGCTTTTCAGAAACATACAACTCGTGGATCTGTCAGCCCCCAAATCTGAGGATTCGGGACAACTGGTATGGGAGCTGGCAGGATCTCCCAGGCTTTTATCTGGCCCATTTTTCACCAGACGGGTGTTACTGCCAAGGAAGGCAGTTACATGGACACAGGGACTCTGCAGGTGCAGTTACGGCTCCTCCCCAGCGGGCTGTGACTATCCAGGTAGGCCCAGGCAGTCACACAAGCCCTCGGGGCAGGGATCTTTCTCAAGCTGGTAGTCCAGGGGAATCAGAGATCCAAGCACGGACAGACTGGATTTGCCATTGTTGGTTTGAAGACGAAGAGGGTCATGTGTCACCCTTCGTCAACAGAAACTGAATCCTGCCAATAATTTGTGAGCACAGATGCGAATCCTCCCCACCCAAGCGTCCAAGTAAAAAGCCAGGCCAGCTGATGCCTTGACTTTGGCCTTGTGAAGCCCTGAGCAGAGGACACAGCAGAGTCACTCTGTGGCCAGGCTGCTAGCATGAAACTGTCAGATAATAAATGGGAGCGCTGGGCAGGTGTGTAGCCTACCTTACAGATACCAGTTAAGACTGCTGGCATCCTGTACTGGGGTACCTGGTTTTGATAGGCAGCTCTGGCTTCTGACTCCAGCTTCCAGCTAACACAGGCTCTGGGATGCAGAGGCAATGGTGCAAGTAGCTGGGTTCCTGCCACTCACATGGGAGACCTGGGTTGAGCTCCTGGCTGCAGCCCCGCCCAGTCCCTGCCACGCCAGGTATTTGGAGAGTGAACCAGGGTACAGGAGCATGTGCACTCTCCAGAGTAAGGTCTGTGGTTTAAATCACTAACTCTGTGATAATCTGTTACAGCAACAAGAAGCTAACAGACTCAGGCAAAATGAGCAAAATAAGTTAATTGTACGTATGAATAATGTCCTTGGCAGCTCGCATGGTGTCAAACTGATTTTGTGTTATAAAAAGACAGATAGGAGGAGGGTTTGCTTTTAATGTCCTGAGTGGCCAAATAGAAAGCTTGCCTCCCCGTTTGAGTATGCACTCCGAGGCCTTGCTGTCTGGGTGTGTGAAATGCAGGCGTCTGGGCACTGCTAATCCAGGCCACACGCTCACCTCACAGGCAGAGGCTGTGGGCCAGGGAGGAGCAGGCATTCGTCCTCTACTTTGCTGGGATCACCAAAGAGATTGCTGCCTTCCCAGTTCAGAGCTTCCTGAACAATCTAGAAAACTCAGCTCCGCAAAGGGGAAGTGAAAGCCTGCAGCTTTGAGGGCTTCAGCAGTGTTTAAACCAGCACCCGTAATCAGAGCGCTGCGACCAGGCCCTGGCTCCGCCCCCAATGCCAGCTTCTTGGTAATGTGCATGCTGGGAAGCAGCAGGTGATGGCCCAAGTGCCTGGGCCCCTGCCACCCACCTGGGAGACCTCAATAAAGTTCTATGCTCTTGACTTTGACCTGGCCCAGCCCTGGTTATTGTGGACATTTGGGGAGTGAACCAGC